ACATGAGCAAAGAATGAATCAGAAGTCCATCGGTTCGAATCCTTAGCAAGCATTGCAGAGTTGGGTCGCTCACTCAAATCGAGGAGGCCATCATGGTGCCCGAGGTCGTAGAGGTGCCCGAGGTAGAGGTGGAAATTCGAATTTCACGGGAAGGTATAAAACACGTGATAAATCAAAGGTCAAGTGTTTTAAGTGTAATAGATTCAGACATTACAAATCCGAATGTCGAGCAAACATGGGCACGAGTAGCCAGAACGTGTACATGTTACATGTTGTCGATGCTGATGAAAACGTGGTGTTAGCATGCAAAACGGATGACTCGAGTACCATGGACACAAATATCTGGTATCTCGATACAGGGTGCAGTAATCACATGTGTGGCCGAAAGGAGCTATTCTCGTAGCTAGACGAGACAGTTCGTGGTGAAGTCAACTTCGGGAATAAATAAAAAATTCCCGTTTTGGGCAAAGGTAACATTGATATCAAATCAAAAAATGGTACTAATGTTACTATTGCAGACGTTTACTTTCTGCCAGGACTTTTCTGGAATTTGCTTAGTGTTGGGCAACTTTCCGAAAAAGGTCATAGTTAATATTGAAAATCGAGTTTGCACTATCAGAGGTGTAAACAATAAGTTGATCACGACGGCACAGATGACGAAAAACCGGATGTTCCCTATGTCCCTTCAGACGAATACTCTGTTGAGTTTTCAAGCGATGACAAAAGATAGCAAGTGGTTGTGGCATCTTTGATTCGGTCATCTAAATTTTCGTGGGCTAAAATTACTCGTCCAAAAAAAGATGGTGAATGGCATGCCTTTGATCGACAGTCCAGACCACCCATGTGAAGGATGTCTCGTTACAAAATAGCATCGAGAATCCTTTCCAGTTGGAAAAGCTAGAAGAGCCAAGCAGCCTTTGGAGTTGGTACATACAGATATATGTGGCCCTGTTGAGGTGGAATTAGTCGGACAAAAAAGGTACACGCTAATTTTTGTTGATGATTTTACCATAAAAACATGGGTATATTTCTTAAGAGAAAAATCATAAGCTTTTGGCAAGTTTAAAGAATTTAAAGTCTACGTTGAGAAACATAGTGGTTTTAATCTAAAGATGTTGAGATAAGATAGAGGTCGAGAATTTACTTCCAATGAATATGACATATACTATAAAATTCATGGAGTGAAACGTCAATTAACTGCTAGCTATACTCCTAAGCAAAATGGTATAGCAGAAAGAAAGAATATAACGATTTTTGAAATGGCAAGGAGTATGCTAAAGGCTAAAGATTTACCAAAGAAGTTTTGGGTAGAAACTATTACTTGTGCTGTATTTGTGCTAAACAGGTGTCCAATAAGGAATGTTCTTGGAAGAACCCAAAAAGAGGCTTGGCGCGGCAACAAGCCAGATGTTTCGTTCCTACGAGTATTTGGGTGTGTGGCATATCCCCATATACCAGATGAAAGGAGAAAGAAGTTGGATGACAAAAGCGAGAAGTGCATCTTCATTGGCTACAATGACACAACTAAGGGTTATAAGCTGTATAACCCAGTCATTGAAAAGGTAATCATCAGCAGGGATATCCAGTTTTTAGAAGATGAAGCTTGGGACTGGAACCAAAAAGGTGACCAAAAAAACATTACCATCAAAGATGAACCATAGGAGGGAGATATAGAAAAACCTCCAACATCTTCGACCAGTGGTGCATCTTCTTCTTCATCTTCGACTGGTGGTCTATTTCTTCACCAACAGCAACTTCAGAACCACCTTTACGTCGTTCACAGCGATTGCGAGAGACTCTAGCAAAATTCAGGGATTATGTGGTCATAAGGGACGATGACAGTGACAGTGACAGTGATGAAATCACTAATGAAACTATGGTAAACTTTTGTTTATTTGCTGAATGTGACCCTATATCCTATGATGAAGGAGCTGTAGATATAAAGTGGATCCAAGCAATGGATAAAGAAATCCACTCCATTGAAAAGAATGACACATGAGTGCTAACTTCTTTACCACCCGGTAAGAAGCCCATTGGTGTCAAGTGGGTGTACAAGACGAAGTACAAACCCGATGGTCAGGTGGATCGTTACAAAGCCAGACTGGTCGTGAAAGGCTATAAGCAAAAGCCAAGTATTGATTATTTTGAGGTATTTGCATCGATGGCTCGAATGGATACCATTAGGATGGTCTTAGCACTCGTAGCTCAGAATCGTTGGAAGATCGATCAAATGGATGTGAAATCAGCATTTCTAAATGGGTTCCTTGATGAGGAAGCGTATGTGGAGCAACCACAAGGCTATGAGAAGAAAGGGCATGAAAATCAAGTTTGCAAACTAAAGAAAGCATTGTATGGGCTAAATAGGCACCTCGAGCTTGGTACACAAGGATTGACACACACCTGTTGGAGCATGGTTTTCAAAAGTCCCCATATGACCATACACTATATATGAAGTCCAATACTAACGATGACATAATAATTGCGTGCCTTTATGTTGATGACTTGATATTTACAGAAAACTATGAAAAGATGTTTGCTGAATTCAGGGAGGCCAGGACGAGCCAGTTCAAGATGATAGATTTGAGATTGATGTCATATTTTCTAGGCCCTGAAGTGAAGCAGACAAATGATGGCATATTTGTTTCACAACAAAAATTTGCTAATGATATTTTGAAGCGACTCAATATGGAATCGCTCAAATCAATTCGGACCCTCGTAGCAAAACGGTTGGAGTTGAAAAAAGAAGGAACCGGTGAACTAGTAAATCCCACTTATTTTAAAAGTATTGTTGGCAGCTTAAGATATTTGACTTTCACTAGGCCAGATATTACTTATGGCGTGGGAATTATTAGTCGGTTCATGGAAAAACCATACCAATCACATTTGCAGGCAGCAAAAAGAATTCTACGATATGTCAGTGGAACTCGTGATCATGAAATTTTATATTCTTACACTGACAATTTCAATTTAGTGGGGTATACAGATAGTGATTAGGTAGGAGATACTGAAACGTGGAAGAGCACTTCCGGCTATGCGTTCTTTCTCAAATCAGGAGTAATTTCTTAGTCCTCGAAAAAACAACAAGTTATTACACTCTCAACAACTAAAGCAAAATACATGACAATAGCTTCGGCAGCATGTCAAGGGATAAGGCTTCATAGGATGCTTTGTGAACTGATGCATGAACAAAAAGGTCCTACAAAATTGATGTGTGATAACAAATCGGCGATTGCATTAGCCAAGAATCCTTTTTTTCATGGCAAGAGCAAACACATAGACATCAAGTATCATTATATTCGTGAGCTGGTCAAAGATGGTGAGATTGAACTTGATTTCTATAGATCCGAGGATCAGATTGCAGATTCTTGACAAAACCATTGAAGGCAGATTTGTTCGAGAAATTGAAGATGATGCTTGGTGTTGTTGATTCCAAAATCAATTTTAAGGGAGGCTGTTAGAAATATTAAAATTATTTTTGGTATAATTCTCAAGAGCTTGTACCGTAGAAGATGGGAATCGCTTCAATGTTGCAATAGGTGAAGGGAGTGATGAAATTGCACTATCTCTCTCTCTAGATTTGTCAAGATTTTTTCTGCAGGTTTTTTGTCTTTTGTAACTTTCCTTAAGGAGCAAGTTGATCTACAGCCTTCTGTCGCAAAATGATTCAAAATTAGTCTTCAAGTTGACAAGTCAAATTTGCTTGATAAAGAAGAAAACTTCACCTCCTTAGGAGTAGTATAAATAGGCATGTCCCCTCCCCATTTGTGTCGACGTGTGAAAAGCCATAGAAATAAGAGCGAGTTGAGCGTTGAGAGAAAAAGCTTGTAAAACTAAGCTTGTATCTTCTCTATTTAAAGCTTACACAAAAAAGCATTTTGAATATTATTCTCTCTCGTTTATGTATTTATGTGCTCCTCATCAAAATCTTCAAAGTTTCTCTATATCTTTTTTGGTTCCAACACGTCAATCGTGGACCAGTCGCGTCACTGGCCAAATCTAGTTGGCTTTGTCTTCCTGTGGTCGCCATGACTTCGACCAAATCTAAACCATAGCAACAAAGAGAGGAGAAGGGAGGAAGAGAGAGAAAAAATTACATTTGTATTATTTTTTAATTCCAGGTCAGTGTCTATGTGTGGAGCTCTAACTGGAGTTAGCTGTGTCAGCTTAGACTGCGACGCAATCTTTAGGTCTAAAGTTATGGCGACCAGATCTGGACTTGGTTGCTTGCAATCGTTACCATGGACACTACATCTGGACTTCGTCGCTTGCCTTCGTTGCTCACAGTCGTCAACAGATCTACAGTTATGGCAACTGGACTTTGTTGCTCATAGTTGTTGCCGTCGGTATATAGGCAAACTCCAGTCACGACAGGTTGCAGTGCTGTTGTCGTTGCAATCGATGGATAGATGAGCAAAGCTTGCGGCCATGGTCAAGGCCAGATCTTGGACAGGTAACAAGCTAACCGCAAGCGATGATGAAGGGATAACTTGGGTCGACTGCAAGTGACGCCGGAAGGGATGGAGATGTTGGCCGGATGAGGTAGCTTGGGTGGTGCTTTCGGTTGGAGGAGGAAGTGCCGGGGTCCATGGAGGACAAGCAGATCGGCCAAGGAAGGAGGAAGGAAGAAAGACAAATCAGTTTTTTGTTTTTTTATTTTTTATTCCATCTCAGCCGACACTTGTCGGTTTATTATTGGATATGAGTAAAAAAGTGCCGGGTCGCAACCACCGAATATTTTCTCCCGCGACATGACATGTTAGCCCCGCTTGAAGTGTTGATCTCGGTCTGTTAGTATGTTTCTGCATGATCGCTCCTGAACGGCAAAGGCTTGAAGAAGTATAGAATTACCCTCTTTCACTTAGGGCGAGAGGTTCAAAGAGAAAACAAAACAAACCCACCACCAGAACCCCGAAAGATTTCGACAACCAAGAAAGCAACTATTAAAAGCTCCTCATCGATTTTGAAAATTTTTCCGACAGCAAGCTAGAAGAGCACTTGCTCATCATCATCAACCATGGAACAACCCTCGACCACACCCCATATAGCCATCGCACCATCACCGGGCATGGGTCATCTCATCCCTCTCGCCGAGTTTGCGAAGCGACTCGTCCACCGCCACAGCTTCTCGGTCACCTTCGTCATCCCCAATGACGACTCCCCGTCCAAGGCCCAGAGGTCCCTCCTCGATTCCCTCCCTCCCTCCATCATCTACGTCTTCCTGCCTCCCGTCAGCTTCGACGACCTGCACCCCAAGACAACCCGCATCGAGACCATCATCACCCTCACGCTGAAGCGCTCCCTCCCCTCCCTCCGCAACGAGCTGCAGAGGCTGGCAGAGTCCACTAGGCTCGTTGCCCTCATTGCCGACCTCTTTGGCACCGACGCATTCGCCGTGGCTGAGGAGCTCAACGTCTCCCCCTATATTTTCTTCCCCAACACGGCCATGTGCCTGTCGCTGTTCCTTCACTTGCCGACGCTGGATGAAGCGGTCTCCTGCGAGTACAGGGACCTGCCAGAGCTGGTGAAGATACCCGGTTGCATACCCGTCCACGGGAGGGACCTGTTCGACCCGGTCCAGGACCGCTGCAATGATGCTTACAAGTGGGTCCTCCACCACGCAAGGCGGTACAGGCTGGCGGAGGGGATCCTGCTGAATAGCTTCGAGGAGCTTGAGCCAGGGGCGATCGAGTACCTGCAAGGGGAAGAGCCCGGGAAGCCGCTGGTCTACCCGGTGGGACCGCTGGTGAACATGAAGCAGAGCAGCAAGTCCGACGGCTCGGCGTGTTTAAAGTGGCTGGACGAACAGCCCAAATGTGCGGTCCTGTACGTGTCGTTCGGAAATGGTGGGAACCTCTCGTACGACCAGATTCAAGAGCTGTCTCAGGGATTGGAAATGAGCGAGCAGAGGTTCTTGTGGGTGGCGAGGACCCCTAATGACAAAGCGGCCAACGCCACCTACTTGACTGTGGACAGCCAAAATGAGCCGCTCGAGTTTTTGCCCAAAGGCTTTCTAGAGAGGACCAAAGGTAGGGGCTTGGTGGTGCCATCGTGGGCGCCGCAGGCCCAGGTCCTGGCCCATAGCTCGACCTGTGGGTTCCTCACCCACTGCGGCTGGAACTCAACCCTCGAGAGCGTGCTCAATGGTGTGCCGCTTATCGTCTGGCCGCTCTTCGCCGAGCAGAGGATGAACGCGCTTATGCTGACTCAGGACATCAAGGTGGCGCTGAGGCCGAGGGCCGAGGAGAGCAGTCTGGTGGGGAGGGACGAGATCGCCAAGGTCGTGAAGGGCCTGATGGAGGGCGAAGAAGGGAAGTGCATTTGGAACCGCATGAAGGACCTCAAGGACGCAGCGACCAAGGTGCTCAGCGAAGACGGGTCCTCCACGAGGGCACTCTCCGAGTTGGCTCTCAAATGGAGTGCCAAACTTGTAAATCAGGTTCATTAGAATCATATCGTATCTTACTATTTTCTTCTTGCTAATCTTATGATGTCTTGTTAAATGTCATCTGTGGAGTCGGCTTTTCAGTTCTTGTTTGTTTCCTCTATGCCCCTTCTTGTAGTAAGTCCTCTCTACGTGCACGTGGAGAATAAGCTTTGTACTGCCACTTTCCCACCTGTGTATAGGCTCGGCAGTCCACTTTACTAGGTGCTGCATATGTTCTTTGCGGTAGGTGAGAGGGAACAACAGACAAAACAGCGGTGTGTGGTCGTGTGTGTGGAGCCAACTTTCTTGTAGCCAATGACATGAGCTATGGAAGTTGGGGAACCAATTCACACATCACAATGAAATGATTTCTTGATGAGCTCAACGTAAAAGGATTGGGAACCAATTGACATTCCCAAACTTCTTCTTTTTAAACTAATAGTGGAAAGTGGAGAAAAAAAATGGGGCATGAAGGATGTGCCAAAGAGAGTTTTTTTTTTTTTTTTTTTGATAACCGAGGATCCGCCACCATTCCCCGGGGACATGTGCCAAAGAGAGTTTTTTTTTTTTTGATAACCGAGGATCCGCCACCATTCCCCGGGGACATGTGCCAAAGAGAGTTTTTTTTTTTTTGATAACCGAGGTGTCCGCGCGGCCGGCGAGCTAGGGCTCAAACCAGCGGTGATACCCGACTAGTCCTCAAGGGGGGCTAGCGCAGCATCCCACCGCCACGACCCCCCACTTAAATCACTGATGGCCGACTTTGAACCCAGGACCTCTCGTGAAAGGAATTGAGCGCAAACCAACGCGGCCATCGATGGGTGGGTATGTGCCAAAGAGAGTTCAATCATGTTAAATAGAAAAATGGGGGATAAAGTAGTGAATAATTGTGGGAGAAAGTGGGTGATCCCTATCTTTATTCCAAATGGTGGGCCTCTAGAAAGGGAGTGATTCTTGTTTGAATCGCTTCCGCAAACAAATTTTATATGTCACTGATTAAAGATGTCTAGCGCTTGTCATAATTTTAGATACGTCAAAATGGGTCCAAATCATTATTTAACTCATTTTTAATAAACGACCAGACCTGCCCATTAAACGGGGCCTACGTAATACTCAATAATAATTAGAATAATGCTAGGCGTACGAAATTTTTTATGTTAACTTGATATCCTAATTAAAGGGATAATTATACAAATGGCCCATTAACTTTGATCAAATATACAATGTGATCCCTAAATTTTAACCCAATATGTAATTTGGTCCCAGAACTTTTAATTTGTTCAATGTGATTCATGAACTTTTGGTAAATGTTCAATCTAGTTTCTAAACTATATAAAAATATATAATGTTATCTTTCCATTAATTCAAGTTCAGGGATAGCATTGAATATTTCCATATAATTCATGAACTGGATTGAATATTTATCAAAAGTTCAAGGATCGCATTGAACAAATTAAAAGTTTAGGGATGACAGTACACATTAAGTTAAAGTTCATGGACCACATTGAATAAATTAAAAGTTCAAGAACGAAATTACACATTATGCCAAAGTTTAAGGATTATTTATGTAATTTCCTATCCTAAATAATGATGTTGACCGTGACTTAGACTTTTAAAGTCTCTTTTGCATTTGCATTAACCAAGTGTACTAGTCTTCGGATTTAATGGAGATGAGTACACTATAAGTGCCATAACATTTTTTTTCGCTCACTTGAGTGTTATATCGGTGTAAAATTGATCACTTGAATGCCATTCCGGCAAATTGTCCTATGTGATTTTTTTCTTAATTTTCCATTCGGACCTAGAATTTTTAAAAATAAACTAAAGTTCGATATGGAATTTTTTGTCTAGCATGGCAAGAGTATAGCAAATGTCGTCGTTTCCTATTGTTTCTTTAAAATCTCCCCCAATTAGACGCTGCCATTTTCAAACTCTCTCTCAACCTGTTACTTAAGTGGTCACTTTTAAAAAATTGATGAAACTAAGTGTTCACTTCTAAAAATTTATGGCACTCAAATGATCATTTGTGGAGTTATTGGAATTTCTATTGTCCTTCAATCAGACACTCAAGCGATGTCCTTTGCCTTCTCAAGTCCCGACTTTAGCTTTCCAACACACTACATCGGATGATGTATTATAAATTAATGCCACGTCGACTTTTCTGACGAGGCAAATCACGATAGCACTTAAGTGATCGATTTTTCAAATTTGTGGCACTCAAGAGAGCAAAAAAAAAAGTTATAGCACTCAAGTGAGCACCGTATAAAAATTATGGCACTCTTAGTATACTTATCCCGAATCTAATGTTACTCTAATAATTGCCTTTTCATTCATTCTTTTTTTTTTGTTAAAGTTGCCTTTTCATTCAACAATCAGAATACCTTTTGTCTGTTGTTCCCTGTCACCTACCACAAAGTACGTATGCATCAACTAGTTTTACATTCAGCTTTCTGACACGCTACGTTAGATGATGCATTATAAATTAATGCTACGTCGGCTTTTCTAGCGAGGTAAATCGTCAATGGCACTTAAGTGATCGATTTTTCAAATTTGTGGCACTCAAGTAAGCAAAAATAAAATTATGACATTTAAGTGAGTGTCGTGTGAAAGTTATGACACTCCTAGTGTACTTATCCCGACTCTAATGTTACTCTAATAATTGCCTTTTCATTCTCTCTTTTTTTTTTTGGTCGAAGTTGCCTTTTCATTCAACAATCAATAATATCTACCTAAGAATATCTTGTACAATTATGAAAATCTAGATCAGGTCAAGTATATTATACTCTTCAAAATTAAGAGGCTCTGCAGGTAAACTATATGTGAAAAAGAATATTATTAGGAGTTTTTCTAAGGCAGTAATAGCTACTCGACTATAGAAACTATACACCACAGTATTCTAAATTCTTATTTTGTCCACCGTCAGTAGAAAAAGAAAATTTATCAATAAGAAGAGTGGTGTTATTCCCGAACTATATATGAATGTGTTACAAGATATTTTATTATTAGGCGACCGTTTGTCTTGAATATATAATGAATAAAATCATGAAGTGCGCCTACATTAATAATATATCAATCATATTTTCTCAGTAGTAGCTCTAGTGTGGAAAGTATTTATAAATTCAGGATCTATCGATAGATAAATATGAAAGTCTTAAATTTGAGGTAATAATCTACACACACGTATATGCATATATAACTGTATATATATAAGTCGAGCCCTAGCTAGTTCCGTTCCAAAAGCCGAATCTATATGGGAATCAACAATTTCTTTGCGAAATTCTTAAACTAAAAAAATAACTAATAAACAATGGTGCAAAACTAATAAAAAAATAAATAGTAAAATTGAGAATCTCATTAAAATTATGATATTTAGAAAATCGAAATAAAAATATAACTTTATTTTCACCTTAAGCCCCTCGGATTCGTCGAAGAACCGAACCAGTCGGTCCTAACCAGTTTCAAGTTCCCGAAATTGGAAAATGAATCAAAATCATTATATAGATAACAATCAAAGTAATTCACAATTCAGAAAAAAAAAATGAATTTTCTCAATAACTGAACCAATTATTGACAAAATAGAGAGGGGATAATTACACAAATAGTCTCTGAATGTTGGTCAAATATGCAATATGATTCCTGAAGTTTTAATTTGTTCAATATAGTCCATGAACTTTATCCCAATGTGCAATGTGATCCCTAAACTTTTAATTTGTTTAATTTGATCCCTGAACTTTTGGTAAATGTTCAATCTAGTCCCTAGGCTATATGAAAATATTCATTGTTATCCTTGAACTTGAATTAATGGAAAGATAGCATTAGATATTTTTATATAGTCTAGAGACTAGATTAAACATTTACCAAAAGTTCAGGAACCACATTAAACAAATTGAAAGTTCAGGGATCACGTTACACATTCGATCAAAGTTTAGAGATCATTTGTATCATTTTCCCAATAAAGAGCCATGCATTCTTTTCAATCTTTGTTTAGAGAGGCCTTAGATACTTCATCCTCTTTTTTTGAACACGTTATTTCCTTGACGTACGACTACACAACAATTGAAATCTTATGTAGCATGCCACGAGCTTATGAATGATGCTGCTTTGAAAGGTTTAGGAAAGTGAGTGTCCCTTTTTATGTGTATCGATGATAAGTTGGATTTCTACGATCAAAATCTCAAATCAGTATACTTTGTTTGATATTTACTCAAAATTAATTTCATGCAATAAAAATTTCAAACTAGTATACTTGTGACAAATTTACCATGTAAATGTTACACAGGTGTACCATATGCAAGCACAACAAACTTCATCTTGGGCATGCAGATTAAAAGAGAGCAAGAGAATGGGAAGTTGTGGCTAAGTCGAAAGAAATATGTTGAAAGTGTGTTGAAAAAGTTCAATATGGCTGACTATGTCCCCGTGAAGACCCCTATGTCCACTAGTTCCAAGTTATCAGCGCTCCAGTGTTCTAAGACTGAAGAGGAAGCTGAAGAGATGGCAACAGTCCCATATGCAAACGCAGTTGGGAGCTTGATGTATGCAATGATACTCATCTAGATATTGGTCAAACAGTGGGAGTATTGAGCAAATATATGTCCAATCCGGGGAAAGAGCATTGGATGATAGTAAAGCAGGTGCTTCGTTATCTTCGTGGTACATCTAACATTGAGCTATGTTATGAATGCATGAAAAGCTCAAAGGGACAGCAAGCGTTAGAATTTAAGTGTTTTGTATATGATGATTGGGGAGGTGACATTGATAGCAGAAGGTCAACCAGCGGATATGTTGTTTCCTTATTCGGCAAAGTCGTAAGTTGGATGAGCAAGAGGCAGAGCACGGTGGCTTTATCAACTGCTAAGGCAGAGTACATGGCCTTTGCTTATGCTACTAAGGAAGTAATTTGGATGCACAGATAGTATAAAGAACTTGATTTTACACAAGGAAGTGAATATTGGGTGTGATAACCAGAGTGCTATATTCTTAGCTTAGAATCCTAGATTTCATGCAAGAACAAAGCACATCAGC